CATTTCTTAATACTGTAAATCTTCTATGTTAAACAGAAGATGATGTTATATTAATATCTTGAATTTCTGCATTTTCTTCCTACGAGGACAGTTATTCGTAAATCAAGGAATTTTTTATCACGTGAAACACATACTTTAGACGGATACATCATATCTATCTCGTACGATGATAATATATGACCTGTTTGAGATATCTTTACAATGGAGTTTGTTTCACAACTACATATCAGGATAGTATCAGAAGGTCCAATTGCTGCCCAACGTGGTTCCTGTATCTGATCATCTTGCACTACGACTCTCGTGTCTGTCTTGATATCATATATGTAGACCGTATGCCATCTGTAATCACCAATTTGTCACTGCTTTTTGTGTAAATACAAGCGCTTAAGTCTAAAGGATATGTCTTGCTTGGAAAATTAACATTAAAAACATGCTCATCTTCTTTCAATGTATCTAGGAAAGTTTTTCATTTGGATATTGCATAATAAATGATATGTCAGTTCATTGATCAGCAGAAAATTTCAGTGAAAAGGGGATTGATCATCTTGGGACAATTTTGTTTGTCAACCCTGTGTAACACAAATCATTTTGATGTGTCAGGCATGTCATTCTCCTAGAAAAATAAAAATTAATACAGTTTCTGACCTTTAATGACAGTATAAGAAAAATTAAAACTAAGATCAAGCATATGAATAGGTGTAACTTGCGCCGAACATTTTCGTAAATGGTGGATGTCACTACTTTTCTTTTTTAAATATCAAATTAATTAAATAAAAAAATAATTGAGATTATATACTTAAAGACCACCCACTCGGATAATACGAAAAGGTCGGATACATAAACACAAAACCCGGTACACATTCGGAAGTATGCGCCTGAATATGCGGTCCAGTTCCCGAGTTTCTTTGATAGTTTACAGTAAAATGTTGTGAAAAGAATTGCAAAATTTTCAAAAGTGCCATTGTATTGGGTGAATGACACACACATATGACACATCGTCTTCTTTACGAGAGCTAGGTAGAGGAAGCAAATAATAGTAGTATTAGACGATGTCAACAAATAATGGATAAATTGCAATTACCTGTTAAATGCAGACTGATCACAAATATCTAGTTACAATTTACCGTTATTCCAAAATGTAAATTTCATATAAATTGATACTGTATGGATAAATCATAGAAGCATTACAACGAGTGTAAGGGGCATTACTTTTTTGGCACATATCAGCATAGACATGTTTAGATAATTGTGGCATAATCATGATAACTACACTCGAACAAAGTATTGCAACATATACATTAACATTGTTACATGTACACTGAAGCGTATAGATAAACATGTACCCGAAACTACGAAACGTGTCTGATACCAAGACGATACACATTATCCGGAGATAGTGTTTATTAGTCCCCTACCGGTTTAACCGGAGGGCACTTTATGTTTACCCTCCGTCCGTCCGTCTGTCCATCTGTCAGTCCGTCTGTCCACAAACTGGATCACGCAATAACGCAAAAAGTACTGAAAATATTTTTATGAAACTTGATATATGAATAAATGGAGTATGGAGATTATGCACGTCTTTTCCTTTTCTTCCTATGTTGGAAATTCTGGTTGTTATTGCAATAAATAGAATGAAAATATGGCAAATTTAACACATAACTGGATTCAGTTATAACGCAAAAGGTCCTGAAAATATTTTTATGGAACTTGAAATATGGATAGATGACAGTCTTGAAGTTATGATATTTTTTTTCTTTTCTTCCTATGTTGAAAATTCCTATGCTATGGCAACAAATTGACTGAATTTCAATATTTCTGATTCTAGTTTTTACGCTTTTTCACAATAAGTTCTTTATTTCTTAAGGTACGTACTTCAAACTTTATATAAGTTTCTGGTTATCAACCACATCATATGTGACAAGGTTTACAAACTATCATAATTACCTGCCTTGAATTAAATTTTTTATGGAAAAGTTGATTTTTAAAATAACTTCTTTATTTCTTAATGTATCTACATCAAACGTCATATATATGTTTGTTATTATTACTCAGCATTTTTGAGAAGGTTCAATACTCTAGCAAGACTATTTCCAGAATTATGTTCCCCTTGAACTTAGATTGTTTTCGAGAATTTGGTATTTTTTACTCCAACTTCTTCATTTATTATAGGATTTACTTTAAACTCCAACATCACAATAATATGACAAGGTTTATTAATCTGGAATCTATATTTCCAGAAAGATCTCCTCCTTAAACTTTAAATTTTTTTCATCCTTTCTTAATAGATTTACTTCAAATTCAAAATAACATTCATTATCAACACTACATTATATTTTTTTTTTCAATTTTCATCTTTGTTACTATACATGTTAATGCTTTATTTGAAAATTGTTACTTTTCTTCTTTGTCACTATAAATGGTATCTTTAAACTTATAATAATTGATCTTTGTTACACTCGCATAATGTATGACAATGTTCATAAATCTAGCATCTTTATTATTTCCTCTAAGAATTTTGCTTTAAGAAATGTTATATTTTGGTAACAGGGATATTTTCAAAAATAACTTGAGAGTCTCCTTCAGTCTGTCTGTCTGTCTGTCTGTTCATAAAAACTGTTTCCTGAGATCACTTTTAAAAAAAATCCAAGAAATTTACTTAAAGCAGGGAAAAGTTGAAACATTGGTCATGCTTATTCATCGTGAGAAAATTGGACCTTTTGGTTATCTGTTGTATGTACTAGGCAGGGAAACATAACACATTTCTATGATATAGACAAACTTAAAACATGTAATTTATTCATTCAGTGGTATAATTGAATGGACAATGGCCCATCAGAATGATGCTGGGGTTCTAACCGGTAGGGGACTTATGTATTGCTTGAAATACTATGACAATTGCTTGTTGAATATGATTTTCCTATTTTAGTAGGTTAATACTAGATATTTCATTTAATCAGAGCTACAATCGACACCAAAATATGTATGTATGAATTTGTCTTTCAACGTTCTGTGAATGAAATATTCAGAATCTATGATTCCCTTTAAAAATTCCATTTTGTTTAGTTACGCCTTCGTTTTTCTTTGAAGAATGCGCATGCAATATTTGGGATTATTTTTTCATCCACAGTCATCTGATGACAATGTCAATACCGTTATTTCTGATGTATAGTCTGGTTTTATTGACCTTTCAATTATGAATACACTGTAGCACTCATTTAAATATTCGATCCCACTTCGATTCTGTTCGTATGATTTACGATAATTAATATGGAATATGGAGTATGAAACAGAAACACCAGCTCAATATGAATGTTCTCGTCATATCTGCAATAGCACAGTCGGTTAAGTGATTTCCTTATATACGGGAGGTTTGTGGTTCGATCCCTACTTTTGCCATCGTTTTTCGACATACTTCTATCTTTATTGTTGTGGTATATTTAAATGAAAATGTCCAAGTGATTGCCGAATTGTCTAGACGGATATGAAACAACTTAGAAACACTGATTAGTCTTGTTTTGCTTTGTATTTTACTGCATTGAAATGACATTTATTGATTTTAATCCGAATGAATTTCAAATATCAATTGTTAAGGTATCTTATTTATAATATAGACTTTACCAAACTTAACCAAAATAATTACAAATATATTAAAAACGAAAATAGCAGTGTAAAGAATAGTTATAACGTCAATAATGTAGAAAATAGTTATAAATAAGAAAACGAAATATGGAAATATACGGGCTTGATCTTACAACACGCATGCTATCTCGAAATTTTTAATATATACGGATTTCTGATGCATAATAAGCTTTTAAAGATTTATAAAATCTGCATTTATAAAACAATTTACCCAGGGGATATTTTTTGGATGTAAGGCTATTTTCATCTTCTTTTCTCTTGAATATTTACAGGAGGAATATGCATGATATATGATATTTAGACAATTAAAGCAATGCAATTAGAATATAAAACTGAAATACTATAACTCCTGAAGAATATGATATAAGGAATATAATAAGACACAGTAAAATATATACATTTTCTAACATAACTTTTATGTAATGGCTATCAATAATTCTATACATACCTAATATATTATGATACATCTTTAAATAGAAAAGTTATCTGAAGCCAAGAAACTGATGTAAACTTTGTCTTTTCAATTTTCTTGTCATTGACCTGCTTAATTTGTGAAATAGATTCGCCTTTCTTGAGTTTGTTACAGGCAATTTGAAGTGTATAAGTTTCAATACTAGTATGCCACTGTTAGAACAGAAAACAAGCTGGTCAAACATGCTGGCTTGGCTGTAAACTGGTGACAAAGGCTAATCAATTTCAGCTAAGGCAGAATGTGAGTGTTTAAGATATTACAAAAACGTAGTGACATTATATCACTAATATCTGAACAAAAAATTATTCGGCAAATTAATATTTACACACTCATGTATAATTAAATAAAGTCAACATTATGTGATGATTAAAAAATAAGATAACTATGGTACAGAACATAACAACTTTACATATAAGCCGTTCTAGATAAAAATTTGGGAAAAGGGTGATCCTTCGGAAACATTAATCATAATAAAATTACATGAAAATTGCAGACTTGCTTTGAAATGTACAATCTGTCGATAACTTTAAGAAATTCAAATTCGACGAATTTAAGATTAAATTAATATATCAATAGAAATCATTGGAATCATTAATATTGAATTATTTACTCCTGACGTTAGCAAGGTTTATTATAACCGTCATAGCATACTTTGGCTGCATCTTGATTTGCACAATTTTCTCAGCATATCGTTTTAATTGAATGTCTTTTTGTTATGAATTGCTTCTTCGGTGCTATGACATAAGTATTATGCCATTCTTCATCCATCATATTCATCATTTGTTAATTCCTTGTATCAGTCTTTAGTAAATGTGTACGTGGATTTTTTGTACGTGCGTACGTGCGTATGCGTGTGTGAATCTTCAATCTTATATAGGAGATTGTTATATTAAATTGATATTTTAAATTTTTGCATTTCCTTATTTCCAGCACAGTTATTTGTAACAATAAGAAATGATTTATCACGCGAAACACATACTTTATATGGATATTTCATATTCATCTTGTACGATGATAAAATCTGACCAGATGGAGATATCTGTACAATGGAGTTTGTTTCACAACTACACACCAGGATAGTATCAGAAGGACCGACTGCTACACCACGTGGTTGTTGTATCTGATCATCCTTCACTACGACTCTCGTGTTTGTTTTCATATCATATATGTAGACAGCATCATCGTCTGTATCAGTGATCACCACTTTGTCACTGCTTTTTATGTAAATACTAGCGCTAGTGCCTATAGGATATGTCTTGTTTCGAAAGTTAACACTAAAATCCTGCTCCTTACCATCCAATGAAACAATTCGAACAGGTCTTGGATCATCATATGTTCCTACAACAAACTGTCCGTCATCTTTCAAACATATAGAGTAATACTTCGTTTTAACTTTACATGTCCTACTTGAACTAATTTCATTACATTCACTAACATGTAGAAATTTTATCTTGTATCTACTACCACTTGAGATCGCCAATTCCTCCTCAGATACTACAGCAACAGATAATGGGTTGTAAGATAGCTGATATGTTCCTACTTTCTCAAGCTTCTCATTGTACACTAAACATTTCTTGTTTGTGTTATCTACAGCTACCAGTCTACCATCAGGTAGGAAATCTATACCTGAATATAACGGTTCATCTATGTCATCTCCTGTTTTCTTCAAAATAATAGCAGAAACTGGTGTTAACTTCATCGTCATGTTAATAGAATAAACATCTTCCTGACGATAAGATTTTAAAAGTAATTTTCCTGGAACATTTTCAGTAACTGGTAGTGGTGGCAGTTTTAATGTTTCGTCAAAATGAAAAGAAATGTTCACCTTCTCTAAGTTCTGACATTTATCCTTGATGTTTCTGCAGAAAGCATTGACTTTACTCTCCATTTTCTGTTCTGCTATATATTTCTGCAATGGAGTTCCTTTTTTGAAAAAACTTTTAATCGTCTCTAAGTACGATGTTACATCAGCCAAATGTTTCTCGATTTGTGTTTGCTTCATTGTCATATTTTCTAATGTTTCCCTCTGAAAAGTTTCAGCCCTCCGCACCACAAAATCTTCTAAATCGTCAAACATTCTCATTACTTCCTCTCGCATTTGCCTAATCTTTACTTGCATTTCTTTAATATCTTGAGCAACTTGGTCTTTTGAAGAGCAAATATGTCTTGCAATACCCTCAGCATCTTCTCTAGCTTCCGCCAATTTCTGCCCTAAGCCAGAATCTGATGACGTCATGTTCCCGACAATCTTCTCAATTTCTACAACGCTGTGACATTTTTTATGATAAGCAATAGCACAAGTTCTGCAGCAAAGCTTCTTTTCATCTTCACAGAAGAATTCAAAAAGTTTTTGATGTTGATTACACAGACATAATGTCTTTATTTCCAACAAAGTATTTGTAGCATTAGCTTCTTTCACGCTCATAAATGTATGATTTTTTAAGATGGCGTAAACGTTATGTTCATTTGAACAATCATAACATTGGAATTCATTACAATTTGAACAAAACGTGTCGGCTACAGTTTGTTGGTCCTTATTTAAACATGGTTGACAAAAAGTTTCCTTCACAGGACCAGGAATTTCATCAACCTCTCCTATTGTACTTCCACTAGCTGCCATTTTGTATGAAGGTGCTGATGTCAAACCTTTAGCAATTGTATATACCTAATTTGTCTAATGGCACTGTATTCTTGCTCCAAATTCATATTTAAGCATATTGAAACACATACGGTTTAAAGATGATTTAATAGTATTAAATGTTGATATCATTTTACATCCCATACGTTATCTGACATATGATTTCAATCACATGGTGTATTAACAATGATATCAAAACATATTTGATGTCATCCTTTAGTGTATCTATCTGTAGATTAAAGTGTCTATTGTATTGAGATATACCAGTTTTTGCTATACAAATATTTAAAGATAAGATACACATTGCTATCCAAACTTTATCAAAATAATGGGCAGTTATATTTTCGTACTTGCAGCAGTTTGAATTTGATACAAAATTATTTTCTTCTTCTTTAATCTTCTGTTTTGTCCTCCGGTTATGTTTATATGCATGTGAAGTTTTTTTTTATTTTTCAGCTTGTTTTGACTGTCCCCTTATGTGAGTATAGATCAAGGTAAATTTGTGTGGTTTTACTCAAAAACATACTTACAAAACAATCATGCTATCTAACAAATACGTATTTTCTATAAACGACAGTCTTTGACAAAACAATAAATTCTCTATAATGGCAAAGCCTATGTCTGCATTTATCACAAAGGATAAATGTGTCCAATTATTGTTCGTGTGTTTACATGACTGTTGATGATTTAATGAATAATATAATGATCATGAGTGTATGATATGAACAAGATAAAACGTTTTAAATTCAATTGTAGTGTCCATGTATATGTATAACTTTATGCGTATTACTTTTTGTTTCTGTCACAATCATATGATAACAATAAAACAATGCAAACGGTCACGTGCAACAATCTTATTGAATTGCTGTCTTATTGATTTAATTATTCCCTTTGATTATGTGTTGCCAGTTAAATCGAGGTATGGGGTCAGATTTTAAACAAAGAAGGAATGGTACTTTAGTATCAGAAAGGTGTAATCCTAATTATGTTGAGGGCAAATAAATAAACACTGATATTGAAAACATAAATATTTTTTCTTCACTTTATTCCAGAATGTATAAAATAACCCTAAACATCTTTCCGATAATGGTGTTTAATCAAAGACATATGGAGTATGCGAGTCCCATACCTTCTTGATCCGCACTTTTATTTTTTAGATCGATGCTATTTTTTGCAAACCCTACGTCAAATTATTTTTGCATATTATTTGGACATGGTCTCATGCCCTGTATATTGAACATTTTTTGCCCTTTTAACTCCCAAAATACCATGATTCAAGAAATATAAACGTATGCTTCTGACAAAACTAAAAAACTATTCTCTCACGAATAAACATGTATTTTTTCTCATAACATGCTTAAGAATATCATCAAGTAAACTTGATAAACGCGTGAATATTGTTGCTGCTCAGCACTAAGAATAATTCAAATGAAATGCATATTGATACACTTACTGGTAAATATTCTCGCAACAGACACAATCCGATGTTTCGGTTTGATAACTGCATTAATATAGGTCAGCTGCACTTGTGATAGATTATGTTTCCTATGTTTCCATTCGATACCGTTTTATGTGAAGTTTGATGCGAATTTCCATTCTGATGTGAGAATCATCAAATTCGTCATGATTAAGCCAACATACATTTGACAAGGTGCGGAAAATGTAATATAATGTGCAAAAAAGGTACGATCGGATAGTAATGTATATTAATTTATAAGAAGAATACATATATTGACTGACATTTGGCATGCGATATCATAAATGCTTTCAATTAATGTATGTCAGTTATATTTATATTTGAAAACATAATAACTTCAGGAAAATGAAGCATATATAAAAAGAAATATAGTTTAACGACGTAATGAAATTCTGTTCAAACTTGTTTGAACCATGCCATACTAATATCAAAAATATTTAAACTAGTGCATGTAGAAATATTGATTTTAACTTTAAATATTTAGGGGCGGTGAAGGGCAGGATCTACAATTTAAGTGTCTGTTGTTTTTTTCATACATAGTAAAGCATGCTTTTACCTACATGTATTTTCTTTTTCCACTTAAAGGCAAATTGTTTCAAGTATCAAATAAGTAATCAATAAAGACACGCAATTTTCACTTTGCATGGTTAATATGGATAAGAGCGCTGAACGCTTACCACTTGACCTGCTAAATTTGTGTCAATGATTTTTCTTGCTTTTAAGTTTGTGCATTAACAGATTTCATTATTGAAATACAAAATCTATTAACAGTTGAATCTGGAAACACCCACGAGTGTGCATGATTACCTGGCTCTATTCTGCTGGTAAATGCTATTCATCTTCGGTCCATGCACGGTAGATGTTACCTTACTTCTAATTCATCAACATAATTTTATTATAGCTTTGGTTTGTATTTAAATATGAAACAGGGTAAAATTTTAAATATTCCTTGCGTTGATTCGTTGATAAAATTATTAATTTATTAAGAGCCAACAAACTTTATTATTATTACTATTAAAGAAATCACCCTGATAACAATCGATGCGAGTTTAAATTTAATAGAAGGTTAGTGAACCTTAGTTTGTGCAGAAGCACGAAGACGTATTCAAAGCCCGGTACCTTTGGGCGAGAGATTCAATCAATCTTTCTCGTCATTCTTGCATATAAATATATGTTTATACCCGTAATTCTGCGTTAAGTTATATTTTCCGTAGACAGAAAACCCTTTATCATATTTTACACGTTCTAGGGCGATGCCAAATTACGGTTATGTTCTGATAATGAAATTAAAATTGAACAAAGACGAGCGAACACAATTTTACTAGAATATCGCGAACGTTTCTCACTTTTCGGAATCATGGATAATGGTGTGTGCCTGATTTAAAAAGAGGCATGTTCTAGAAAGATTGTAAACGTTCGCCTTATTCTATCAAAACATCTATTTGTATTATATGTTTGTTCGCTTAAAATCATGATATTGTTCTTGTTTGTGTCGCATATATGTACATATTCTTAAATGATACAACAATATAATCAAAACGTGTAAATAAGCATTTTATTGAAAATGTCCAACATCAACGAGTTTCTAACCCTTCCCGCTTTGAATCTTGTATTTGAATGTTCTCCAACACATACGAGACATTTAGCAAAATGATGTATGTCAAAAGAAGCTGGCAATGCGAGGAGTACGTGCGCTTACAATTACTGAAATACAAATTCTATTTCCATAAAAATCGCCCAAAGTTTAGTTATTTATCGGCACCAAATGGTGAAATTTTCATTAATGGTCACGTGTTATTTCTTGTACATACAAATTGTATGAGTATTGTTAGTGAAGAAGCGGGACATCGAACCCTAGTACTATTTTGAGGCTTTTACAACTCGACTACAGATACGATCAATAATAATTTATGTTTTAGCATCAGGCAAAACAGGGCTGAGACAAATTATGATTGTGTTAATTGTTAATGATGCTTGTTGATACGTTCGTACAACTTGATAAATAATTGATTTTTCAATAAATAATTGTCAATAATAATTGCTAATTGGAAGGATGTAGAATACATACTGTAATATAAACTTAAGTATTTTTACGTACACTTCTTTTCATTTATTTATGTCTCTTTATTCTAAGAATAGATATAGCAGTGTTGAAGACTTCAATACTCACCTGAAAATATTGTGAAAGAAATGGTCTTCATCATAACATCTGAACAAATTTGAATTCATATTAAACACTGTTTTACTCTAATCTAATGATGCATATTAGGGACATTTGTTCATACGTATGAACAGAATATCTTAAATTGTATTTATTTTGTGTAATTACTGTTGATTAAACCTCTTATTTTTGTCTCCAATTTCGTGGACATTTGTTCAATCATCTGTGAGTTTGTTTTGTTCAGACGTATGAACAAATTCACTTTAAAAAATAGACACAAAGTAATTGAGATTACATAATATACATAATTATGAACAAATCCTGACCAGTTGATAGGTGTTTTTTTTAAATTTTTGTTCATACATATGAATAAAATCGAAGCGGCTTATTCATATGCTATTTTTCACCCTGTGAATTTGTTTTGTTCATACGTATGAACAAAATCGAAGCAGCTTATTTGTGTGCATTTTTTCACTCTGTGAATTTGTTTTGTTCATACGTATGAACAAAATAGAAGTGTCTAATTTTTGTATTATTTTCACTCTGAGTTTGTTTTGTTCATACGTATGAACAAAATCGAAGCGACTCATTTATATGCATTTTTTCACTCTGTGAATTTGTTTTGTTCATAGGTATGAACAAAATAGAAGTGTCTAATTTTTGTTTAATATTCACTCTGTGAGTTTGTTTTGTTCATACGTATGAACAAAATCGAAGCCGCTCATTTATTAATAAATGCATTTTTTCACTCTGTGAATTTGTTTTGTTCATACGTATGAACAAAATAGAAGTGTCTAATTTATGTGCTATTTTCACTGTGAATTTGTTTTGTTCATACGTATGAACAAAATCGAAGCGACTCATTTAAATGCATTTTTTCACTCTGTGAATTTGTTTTGTTCATACGTATGAACAAAATAGAAGTGTCTAATTTTGTGTTATTTTCACTCTGTGAGTTTGTTTTGTTCATACGTATGAACAAAATCGAAGCGACTCATTTATATGCATTTTTTCACTCTGTGAATTTGTTTTGTTCATACGTATGAACAAAATAGAAGTGTCTAATTTATGTGCTATTTTCACTGTGAATTTGTTTTGTTCATACGTATGAACAAAATTGAAGCCGCTCATTTATATGCATTTTTTCACTCTGTGAATTTGTTTTGTTCATACGTATGAACAAAATAGAAGTGTCTAATTTTTGTATTATTTTCACTCTGAGTTTGTTTTGTTCATACGTATGAACAAAATCGAAGCGACTCATTTATATGCATTTTTTCACTCTGTGAATTTGTTTTGTTCATAGGTATGAACAAAATAGAAGTGTCTAATTTTTGTTTAATA